TGTTGTTAAGAGTAGACAAAAAAAAACATCAATCTTTGTTATAACTGATTTTTAATCGCGATACATAGCGAATTACTGATTACAATATACACACATATAATTTCATGAGTTTAACTAATGTGAAAGCAAGATAAACTATATATTATTTTATTATTACATTTGTGTGTATTGAACCGGTATGAGTTTTTCTTCTGATAATATAATAATATCAATTAAAGTCATATAAGGAATCCTTTCAATTTCATGATAGGTAATGGGTTCTTATTCCACGAGCAATTAGGTATTCGGTACCCGCATTTGCTATACAGAATTGTACTCTGTACATTCATTTTATTATGATGCTTACGCTTTGTTATTTTCCTGTTGCTACAATTAAAATGCTATTTAATTAAGTTTTATCATTTATAACACTACTATACTGTCACTTATTTACTAGCTGTAGTTATTTAAATACACATGCATGGCATTTATGTAGTAGAATCATCTATTTCCATAGGCTATAAGATATAATATCAAATATATCAATACAATTTTACGACTTACATTATTATATCACCAAGAAAAACAAATCATTTATAAATTTCTCTGTGTGTATAAATCAACTAAATTACCTACATTTAATACAATTTTCCCGCTAAAACCTAATCTGGCTTAAGATTTTTGTAAACTGCTTTTAAAATTGTTAAAAACCGACGTTAAAAAGTATTTAAGATAGAAAACTATTACTCAAATATTTTTTTTAATACGTGATGTATACTTTTAATTAGCACTTAATAAATACTTTGAAATACCTATACTGACCGAAAATTAAACATTTTAAAAACTCCTAAATAACTGTTAACTTATTAGAATTAGATGAACATAAAATACATTTTCATTAAATGCTTTTGGAAATTATAACAATAATTATTATCTAACAAGTATTTAAGAACAAATACAAAAAAATAATTAAAGAATATTAACGGAACATTATGGATTGAAATACAAATAAGTGTTGACAATTTATTTAAAATTCATAAAATACAATTTTACACGTTATGAAATGAAATGCTTCTTCGCTAAAAAAACAATGTGTTCGTTTACTATATTTGATTTTTTTTTATTCTACGAACCAACATAACAACACAGATGTTTCACATCACACGTGTACGACATTACTAATCTTTTTATCACGTTTTTATGGTCTTTGTAGCGTTAAACATATAATATACATGCCTATTATATTCTGGGTTACACTAGTCTTGATATCATTCTTTTCTTAAACAAAGCTTTAAAGTCATTGTTAAATGTACTTAATAAATCCATTTGTATTATAATGAGAAGTTTAATAACAACATTACAGACTATAAGCTGTATATAAATCTGTTTATTATATAATCAAAATAAGAAGACGTGTTCAGTGTCTGCCATCACGTGTATAGTTTTCAATTATTTCATACTCGTTAGCACTTATCAGCCTGCTTGTTTTCTATAAAAAGGCCTTTACTTTAAAAAGATTTATTTTTTTAATTCTAATTTTTGGGAGAGTTTTTAGACTTGTCTTGAAATTCAACCGTTGATGGTTGATATATAGTGTATCTATTAATACAAACAAAATTCCAAAATGTTTAGTTAACCCTTTTTGATTAAAATCGGTGTGCCTGGCATTAAGTAATACTTTAAAACAAAGTTATCCGAATTGTACAGTAATTTTTTTCGTGATATCGTGAGTAGGATAAGAAGTTAAAAAGAACTGTTCTGTTAAAGAACAAAGTAGAACGATTATTGAGGATGTAGTGAGAGCAGTCACCGGGGACTTCATCGTCATGCAGAGTACAAAACTGGCAGGGATTTGAAGAGTGAGAGGGAAGAAGTTAGTGACCACATCTTAGACGACTGAACATTATAATTGTTTTTCTGTGGATATTTAAATTGTGAAACCAAGGACGAGATGAGACCGAGGGAGATAAAGATATGTGCCATTTGGCTATAATAACAGTGGCGACAATTTTCTGTGTCCGAGTCAAGTACTTAATTAACGGAATTAGTCCAGTTTCGCCATTGGATCGTGACGTATATGTTATGGTACTTGATACCTATAGTGTTTACTTGTTAAACTGTACGACAAACGGGTGCTTTTATTTTTTTATTACAGTGACCGCAAAAGACGGGTTTGGGAGAACTGTAATGGTTTTTTTTTTTTTTATATAAACCTGAAAGTATAACAACAACAACAATAATAATTATCATTATTGTTGAGACGACGGGCGAGGGTGTAAAGTGTGTGCTAAAATGTGGAAAAAGTAATGAAAAAAAAAAAAATAGAAATAAAAAAACGACCCGTCACGTTCGGTTCACGTGCGCCGGCCATGATCAACAGCGCGCCAACGCTTTGGCGGCTAGTGCCACCTCAGCCGTGTCGCCGACAGTACTTATCAAATAACATATTATTATACTTACAACGTAATAATAATATTATTATGTTATACACTTGCGAATTTCGGCTGTACACCGTCAAAACATAATACTAATAAATCGAGGTAACTATACATATATGTAATATGCATGTTTTATTTTTTGAAAATGTATGAAAAATTTAAGATGGGAAGTACAAGTTTTGGAATTCTGCAAATTTTCGCCCCTCCACGTCCTCTTACTTCCCCCCCCCCCACCACCCAACATATACACACTAGAGTATAAGTGTACGCCACTGTGTACCCAAAACATTTGTATTAACAGCTTAAAAAAAAATACTTGTTAAATTTCACAAGATGATTTTTCTTAGGATAGGATGTATCGCATAATCAGTTAAATTGATTAGAATTGGTTTAAAAGCGCGATAATATATTTTATTATTTTAGTAATTAACGATTAGCCAAATGGAACAAAAAAAAACCGTATGCAGAAAATTTGTTAACAATGTGTTTACTACTCTAAAATGTTACACTTACTGCAGTTAAAAAATCATGTTTTAAATATAATTGATCATATCGCGAGTAACCCTATAAAAAAACCGCATTTTATAGTTGATAGTACACTACAGCTGTACTTAACTAGTTACTACTTTGTTTTTCTTGACCATCTTGATTAAAGTCATTTGTTGTAATAGATGTTGTTGTATTCAAAATTAAAACAATTATTCTATGAATCACACTTGTTTGTATCTATGTACTGAGAGTAATAATTATTAGAACCTACACACGATAATAATATGCTGATTTTCGCGAATTTATCCAAATTACTATTTTGAAAGTCATTGGCATAATAATATCTCAACAATCAGCGCGGCGGCCTATTTTCTTAAAAATAACTCCTTACATATACGTAGTTTGTGTTAATAAATGTATAAGCGATCATTATGGTATGTAATATTGCAAATTGATAAAAAATTACATTTTTATTAAAGTTTCAAACTAGTTTACAACTAAATTAAAATTTTGTTTTTAGAAATACAGAAATATGATTTTTATCAACGCAATAGCATGTTTTTCTTGACGCTTTAATGTTTATTTATGTGTCAAAATGAAAAACATGACCCCTGGTCCCTCCCAAAACCAATTGGGTAAATTACTAATTTTCTTTAATTTGAGAAAAATGTCTTTACCTCTAACAAAATCATGTTATTATTCTGTTGGCATAAACAATGGAAAAAAATGTAAATTTTGACCGGGACTCGTTTAGGAGGCCGGTTTTTTTTAAACCTTTGTCACCTGAGGCTCAATGACATAATATAAAGTGCTATAATTTTACTCACGTGCCAGACCTAATAATGATGGGGGTCAAGAATATTGTAATATTAATGTTAATATAGGAATTAAACTTAACGGTAGAAAACGTTGTTTAAGCGATAAATCAACCACGCAATTTCATTCTGATATTTGAAAATGTAATGATTAATTGACTGATAAACTGCATTTGTCGTAGTAAGATTGTATCGTATCAATATAAATATTACTTAATGTTAATGCTTAATTATTATTAATTAATTAAACAAGTGAATAACCAAAATGGTTTTTTTATACATTTTATAGATAAAATGCACGCGCTCACTTGAAATTCGACGATAAAAAAAATTTTAATCATCAAGTTAAAACCCATTGAAATTTTAAACAGATAAAACTGATAACTTGCTAAAAAAATGTATACGAAATTAAATAAAAAAGGATTTTTAAGTATCAGATTTAAATTTAAAATTTTAATATATAAGTCACATATCAAACCCCAATATGGATGTAAGGGTTCCAGTAATTATATAGTACTGTAAAAAGTCTAATATATTTACAAAATTCAACAATTCCAAAATAGTACTCTAAAAAAAATTACTTACATCCCCCCTCCCGTATTAATCTATCATTTGCACAAAGACCTCTTTATAAAATATGTAACAGAGGAAGTTGTTCAATTTTACAAACGTTCTTATGCCGTTTACAAAAAACCATCAAATTAGGCAAATTTGATCAACTGCAAACAAACGACGACTAAAATAGACAGTGGTGTCGTGATTAATAATAGAATAATTAAATAAAAAAGAGTTAAATACAAACAAAATGTAGAATAATTAAATTTAAATATCCCTTATGGGTGACTTCTTCATCAAGTGTATCACACATTGTATTGTACTATTATTAAATATACCTACTTATTGTGTTTTAAATTATACAGATTGTATATTTGCTTAATAAAAAAAAATGTATGTTTTAGCTTCAAGAAAAATTTTTTCACAATCAATTCGAAACAAAAATTCACGAAGGACTCAATGAGCTAGGGATGTGAAAATTTGTTTGGAATTTTTTATTTGAATAGGTAGCCTATCGATTAAAAGGATAAAGAAAACAATAAAAAAAGTAGTTTTAAAAAAAAACCGGTACTTTATACGTAATCGACATATCAGGTTAACGCATAGGCCTTAATCAACTGCAGTATATAATACTATATCAGCTGTCGTTGTCCCTAAAACCATTTAAATAGTTGCATAGGTCTATCACACCGTCGGATCTGATTAGCGGCGGTGGTGGGAAAACGGCTTCTGTGGTGGTGTGAACTTGCCGGCTGATAACCGGAATAGTATTTCCGCCGGACGGTTTTCGCTGGACGACCATTCGCGCAACGTTTTCTAGCCGCGCAACACTGTACTGTCATCGATTACAGCGCGAACCGGCCGCAGCAGCAGCAGCAACACAAGAGTCTATCCCAGAGTACTTAACTGCTGGTCGCAGTAGTAGCACACGTCGAAAATGGGATTTTTCAGAGGTGAGTAGAATAAAATAAAAATAATAAAAATGCGCAATACACATGGACGGTCAAGCGCATTCGTGTGTTAAATGTAATTAAAAAAAACTAAAAAAAAAAAATGTTTAATTATAATTTACTCAAAAAAAAAACCGTTTTCACAAACGCAAAATAAAGCTATTGACTGTGCGCTTGACCGTCGACGCAACATATTAAGTCTTGATTTTTCGCCAAGATTAAACTATTAAACGACCGGCAACGATTTGTGCTTACATAAAAAATATAACACCCCAAAGGCATTGTTTAATTCGATTTTGTAATCGTGTTTTATAGACCGTTAAACACGAAAAAACAAAAATTATCCACAATTTTTTTTTAAAAATATTCAGCCTACCAATACGGTTAGTATTTTTCTGATTGACGTTGTCTTGCGTAGAATATTGTGTTTTTCATTTAATTTTTCATTCGATATAATTTTTGGTTTAATATTACGCTAGCCCGGATTTAGGACCTTATTTGGGCCCCGAGATATACATATAAGACACGTATGTATAAGCCTCAGCCGTGAGGTTATTAGTATTTGAGTGTTAACGCTATTTAAAAATAAAAAAATTTAAATTAAACATAAAACATTAAAATTTATAGATACCTAACCTCATAACTACTAAACACATTATAACATCAAATATGTATTTAAAAATGCATTAAATGTCACGAAAATAACGTTTTATTGTTACTGTTTTTGTTTCAAAAACAAAGAAACAAAATGTTCACTAGTCCTTGTTATTTCTTCTGTTTGTTTTGACAATTATTTGCTGGCATTCCAACGCAGGATTTTTTATTGTATTAATCAATATTGGCAAGCTACAATATTTTTTTTTTTTTAATGTTATCCATTAAAAAAAACCGACCCGTTTAAAATGCCTAATTATTTTTCAACGTTTTAATTATGGTTTTAAATTTCAACATGAAAAAAAATTGGTTTACAATCAAAAAATAATGGACCTCATGACTTTAATCATATAAATTATCTTTCCTTCTTTAATCCGGGCTTAGTTGTGTTGCACGTTTTTAAATGTTTAAATTATATAAGTAGATATTGTATCGCGACTCTTGACACATCTCATGTGCATCGTGTGCTTTTATTATTTGCCGTTTGAAAACGTTGGGCTAGTACTCAACGGTAAATTAAGCATACATTTCCATCAACACATTTTACTTACAGTAATATATTATAAAGTAACGAAAAAATTACTATATTACTCAATTGAAAAACAACTGATAACATGGTTACACATTTTAAATGTATTCATATATGTCGGTTGTATAACGATCAAAGTATTAGCAAACATTCAAGGTAAACTTAAAAGACTATTATAAGTATATTATATTCCTTTGTTTGTTAATTAATAACAAGGAAAATAGTATACTTCCAGACTAATAAATGCCCATATTGAATCTATGTTCTAACGTTAACGCAACGTTTTTAATGACTATAATTACCCGAAAGAACAAACAATTAATTTTAAAACTTAAAGTAATGGTTTAAATAAAACATAACACTTGACCGATTTGTTAATTAAATATAATATATAAGCGTTACAATTATTAACCGATACCTTGTAATAACAATAATAATATAAGTGTAAAAACCTCTAGGGTCTAAGCCCCTCGAGCGTTAGTTTAAAAAAATGAAATTATGAAACCATCATTATTCTTTATGTTTTAATAAATAAATAAATTTAAAAAGAAAATCAAACATTTTAAATACATTTGAATGTTATTTTTGGTAATGCCAAGTTTATTATAATGTATTTAGTTTTTGTTTTCGATACCTTGAACACATCTGAATGTTCTTTGAAATATGTTAGATTATAATTTTATTTTCGTTTCAATGTCGATAAATATTATTGTTTGTTAAAAATTAATATTAAAAAAAAACGATTTGATAATTACGGGGTTTTCGATAAAACAATAATTTAGCTAATAGAATTCTGATTGGTAAATTATTAGTAAAACAAAAATATGTGTACATATATTATATTATGGCATATGGTTTTCTTCTTTTTAAGAACGTTTATGTGGTTATTTTATGTAAATTTGCTCAACGGTCAATGAACGAAAAATGATAATATTGAACCGTCGATAGAAAGTAGTACCGCGAATAATAACAAAACAAAATTAATAAATTGAAAATAGAGTGGAAAATTAAATTATTTTTTATTCCAATGCAAATCAATTACAATTATGTAGCTATTAAACTTAATGACTGCTAAACTTATTAGCTAGAAGTAAAGACACTACAGTATTAATATGACGCTACAATACAAAATATATCTCTGTAAGTGAATTTTGGCCAAAACGAGATTTAGACCACTAAACATGTAAATCAACACAAACACTGTCTAGAATAAAAATAGGAAAAGGTATGAATAGTTGTGTACAAAGTTTAACGCCACGTGAAAATTCTATTTTAAAAGCTGATTGTTTACAAAAAGCTATCCTGGCCTTTTCGTACCCAAGGTACAAATTTGATTATTTGTACCTGGAATTTATATTATGGTTTTTTAAAAGGTTATTGCCAGTCTTGGCGTAATTACGTTGAAGCTCATCCAGTTTTCCCATTACCCTATCCCGACAACGATTGTTTAATAAATTCTTTCCTCCCAAAAACGAAAAAAACATAGATAAATCTCAGCTAATGGAGAAATTGTATAGTTTCTTGACACCGACTGGACGGTCGTCTAGCTTTGCACATACACTATAGGACCTTGGAGTTCATAACCGTAATGTATTACTCATTGCGAAACGCAGATAATGGCATATAGGTCATCAACATAATCACATATTATGTACATATAATCAATAAAATCAATAACGTAAAAAATTGGAAAAACATTTGCATATGAGTTTCGACGAGACTCTTCTTTTTGTCTGTTCATCAACGGGTTTTTAATCCTTTATAGTCCTATTTGCGTCTTATTTCAAATTTGTTTTTTTTTTTGTTAGCACTGTTGTTTCCGCCAGTTAAGCCAAACGCTAAAAGTCCCAAAACTAATAAGTAAATGGCAAACGCTTAAGCCTAAATGCGAATAGCAACCGTCTGCGGTATCAATTTTGACCTTAGGCACCATAAAAGTATAGCGACAGCCTATCGGGAATGTTGTTAACGACGCATCTACTTATCACGTTTTACTCGATTATAATAGCATCATTAGCAGCAGTGTTTGTATGTGTAGGCAATATTACATTAAACACTTAGTAAATAATAACAATAAAAAAAAGATTCACCGTGTTATCTGATCGTGCATAATTATTGTTGTTTATACACGACGGTCTACTATGGAGCTGTCAATGACATGCAATAATAATGTTTTGAAAATACTCATCAAATATTATGATTATTATTCTGGTAATAGACATGGATAAAATTGGCCATAGATTAAAAAAAAAATGACAATTCTGTAAAATGTACGAAATATACTTATAAAACGCTGATTAAATCAAAAGCCAATCTCGTTTTAATGAGACGCTGTTTTCTTGAATAATTATTTTCTTTAATTTTAATTAAATACAGTCTACACTTGAACTATCCGTCTTTAACAATAATAATTAGCTTGTGTATTATCTCGTAATCTAAACATTTAATCTGTGTTTTTGAATAACCCAAACAAATTGGGCAAGTATCATCCAGAGGCCGAAGCTGACACATGTCTTAATAGTTCAAATTTTAATAATTTTATGTTTAAGGTAAATGGATTTTGTGTCCAAACAGAAAGCTTTTGCAGCTCCATTTCGTTTCTGATTGGTTCATTGTGTGTATTTTAGAGTGAAACTTACATTTACTCATTTTAAAATATAAACAATTCGCGTCCATGGTTTTTATCAAAGCCATGTGGCACTATTAAACTTTAATTGGCCGTTTGTCAAATAGTGTATTAGAAAAGATATTTTTAGGTACAACTACATTTTCTTATGTGTAAATAAATAGATTAAACAAATCAAATGTTTTTAGAAATAAACCGGCAATTTAATAGCTGTAATTATTTTACTATGTAATAAAAAAATAGTTAGATAAGGATAATTATTTTGTCAGTAAAATATGTCTTTGTTAGTTATATAGTTGATAGTTAAATTTAAATATTACCGTGAAGAACGCCATACTCGTGTAAAATCCAAAGCCCTCGAATAGTATGGGTTCCATTGATAAAACGTGTTGTGTTTAAATTAATCAAGATTAGCAAAGAAACCTTCATCGGTCAAACGCAATAATAATAGTATCAAGTATAATACAGGATGATCGGTTAAATATGACCCAGTCAATATCTAAGAATATAGACTTTTTTAATTATTTTTTTTTATCATTCTATGATAACCCCATCCCTTGTGTGGTAAAATTGTATGAACTTAAGCTTTATTAATGGTATTGTATATGTTTTATAAACTTTTACAATTAAGAATAATTTTCCGAAAATTTCGGCTGGTCAATAACCAGTTTTTAATAACTACTTTTAAAGTTATAGAGTATTACTTTTATTTGCGCGCATCACTCAACCGCACTCCACGACTCAACAAATGAAGATTATTATATTAATAATATTATATCTATGTTTCCATTTAAATATTTTAAGTTTATAGGGTTTAAACACACCAGGGATGGGGTTATATTATTAAAATAACTATAAAAGTATTAAAAAGAATAATTAAAAAACAAATTATGGTAGCTATTAAGATATTGACTGATTGGTCTTGGATAACCAATCACCCTGTATGTAGAAGTTTGTTGACATGCATGTTTCCAAATCCAGTCCGTCCGTTGGAAATAATTATTAATGTTTAATTTACTAATAAATAAAATAAAAAAAACATAAACAATAACTTGATCGGTGTCTGCGTCACACGCGTTCGATTATCTAATTATTATTGAACCTCGATAGTATTTTGTTTACACGGTAACGGTATATAATAAACGGGCCAAATGCCAATGTGTGTACATAATAATATTGTGGTCGAAATACTTG